ACTTTATTGTAATTTTTACTATTAAATACTTTATTGTAATTTTTGAACTTATTTTAATTTAAAATACATATACCTCATAATCAGCTCATTTACAATTATAATATATGTGATTTATACATATTTATTAGTAAAGCAAGTTTAATTGCATAAGATAGATATCTATGTGCTGGTGAAATTCCATTGTTAATGCAAATGTCCTACAGTATGGTACTTCTGTTAAAGGCAATGTTTATTTGATAATAATGCCGGTTTGATATGATACTCACTAATTAAATATTTTAATTTACTAAAAATAAATTATTTAACTCTTACGAGCTCGTGTGGTTATTATATGGTTGTTCGCTTGCGCTCTGATAAAGTTTTTGATCGATATACGCTGGTGACATCATTTGTGACGCGTTACGAGTTCCACTCTGCCCTCTAGTGGGCTACGAGATAAACAGCGGAACACGTTATATCGTTAGTGCGCTCTCAGACTACGAACCGAGAAGAACACTCGAGCAGATTTTAACAAGTTTGGTCACGGCTTCAATCGTTTTCTCCTCGTCGCTGATCAATAGGCACGGCGATTGTGCATTGAGAGCTAACTGAGATAGAAGATCAAAAGTAGACGAGAACAGGCTGCAACAACATATTTTCTATAGATATCTACTACCAGTTGTTCGTAATTCTGCATTCGTTCTTGGTAGCCAGCCACTTTTGCTTGTTATTTGGAAAGAACTTTTCTCCAGCGCAGGACTTGGCAAGATTCACATTCTTCAACTTATGGTCTTCATAATCTGGGAACAGCGATCTGATTTCAATTTCATCAAGTAAGTGTATTAATGTTATTTTTATATATTAATGTTATGTGTGTAGAGATCACACAACACATCTGTTCCTAAGTAAATGCTTTATAGACTTTCGTCGGTTGAAAATTATTCACAGATCTGTCAAAAGAAAAAAAATTATCATTCTTTTACTAGCGATATGAAAATTTAATTATTAATAGAACTATTATGCTATAGAATTATTCCCTAAATCAAACTTTATTTCCTGCGTCTCAATCACACGAAACTTGTCGCTCCAGTCCAGCAAAATGGCCACGATAAGGCTAATGAAATCGTTTAGTAGGAGCACAGATATTCTTTCTCAGTTATTGCTTTATTTATTTATTTTTTCAAATCTGACATGCTTTTGCTTTATCATATCAGAACGATGAGGACGTAATAAGCTAATTCGTTAATTGTATAATTACAAGAATCCAAAAGAAAATGTAATATTTAAAAACTGAACAACAAAATTGTTAATTTGTTTTCTATCTCTATATCCAGAACAAATGATGATTTATGTTAATGTGTGTTTTAATATATTTATCCCTTGCTATCGAAGACGAGTTTCACGTGAAATTTGCAACAAAAACAACGTTGTTTCCTTGCGCATGCGTGGCTATTTGCATTGAATGCGACCATAAAGTTTGACTTGTTTGTATTACCTGACGTATTTTTTCTTCCGGAGTTCATGTTGTTTAATATTTTCTTATTTTCTCCAATACAAGTTATTGACAAAAAAAAAGGCTTATAAATAAAACCAAATTTAAAATCGCCTTACAAAGTTCCCAATAATAAACAAAACGAATTACATAATGTCTCGTTGCACATTTTTTGTAGCAAATCTAGGAAGCATTCATTTTTGTTTGTTGATCAATAAAAATATTCATTTGCAATATTTAATTACTTTTGTTTTTTGGGGGAGGGGTGATTTAAGTTAAAAGTTTTTCATCTTTTGGGCGAGTACATTTGCAATACAATAATTGACATCAATATAACTGAGGCTTATCCAGCACCATATCAAATGTAGTTGATATAAGTCAACTGCTTATACTTGCATCTTCTTTGGATTTCATCTTTGTACAGTATAAAGGTGGTTGACGTTTCGAAGTTCTGATGAGACGATCAGTTTTCTCCATTTCTAAACGCCACTTGATAAAGCCACGTCAAGTTGATTTGAGATTCTTATTTTAATTTTTTGTCAACGTACTTATTGATGATGTGGGATAATCGTCAAAATAAAAAACCCTCGTAGAGGATATACGTTATTTCCAAGTTAGTGCTCGTAAACATTTATTTGATGCACGTAAATTTGTTCATATTTAGATTAGAACACGTATAGTTAATTCAAGCAGTTTCACTGTATGCAGTTGATGTAGGTAGTTTACCTGTGTATTTGGTTGATTTGAGTAACGTACCTGCATACAGTTTATTTACCTACATTTTACTCCACTATATTGTAATTGACGTTAAAATTTTACAGGTATTTAGTACCAGTACATTTTGTTAAGCATCACCACGCTTGTAATTGATATACATAATTTACTCATATTAAGCATAATGTCATTTACAGTTGATGAAAATGCTTAACGCATGTTGAAATTATTTCATAAGTAATTGTTGAAAATAATTAACTTGTATGAAGCATTTCTACACTTGTAGTTAATATAAGTAGTTTACTTGCATTTAGGATTATCACACTTGTAGATGATATATGCAGTTTGCTTGTATTAATTATTAATACACTTGTAGATGATATAAACAGTTTACTTGTATTAATTATTAATACACTTGTAGATGATATATGTGCAGTTTGCTTGTATTAATTATTAATACACTTGTAGATGATATATGCAATTTGCTTGTATTAATTATTAATACACTTATAGCTGATATAAACAGTTTACTTCTATTAGATACAAAATCACATCTAGTTGATATTAGAAAGTTTGTAGTATTTACATAATTTGCGTTTTATCCTATAACTTATATTTCTGGGACATTTTTTTAAAGATTAGCACAATAAATGTTTTTCGATATAAAGCAGTGCTCGTTCTGAAGTTTATAGTTCTTCGTAAAAAAAAAAGGCCTATCCTAGATTAGAGTGGCTGTGATAGTGTCTTTTTCTTTATTTATTCGATTAAAGAATGTCACTATGGAAACGGAAATTTAAAATCAGTGTTATAACACTGTACTGTAATTGAAGTTGTGGATGAATCTCCGGTTTCGAATTGTGCCTGTCGAATTTGGTTGGTTCCCTAAGGGCACAAAACCTATCAAGCAAAACGAACTGGACAGATAAAAAAATTGGCAGTGGTCAGTGAACTATGTTGTGTAATACACAGCAGGCGATTAATTTTCCTGGATTTGTGTCAAGCAGGTTGTCAGAAACCATCATCACCCTTGGGCATTTACTTATTGGTTTAACTACGTAGATACTGGTAGATAAAAAAAAAGTAACCGTGAGTTTTTTCAGAAAATATTTTTCAGTTGAACAGAAAAAAAATTAAAATTTCGTGGAGACTTTTCATAGCAGTTTTGTTTTATTTTAAAGAACACGTGTCGTGTCAATTTATTTATTTTTAAGAGAGTTTGTTATTATTACTTTGTCACTTTTTTTTTTGCTTTCAATTGAGTAAAACACTCGATGATGACAAGGTTATAAAATAGAAAGTACTTGGCTTTTCCTGTACTTTCTTGTGTAGTGCTGTGCTATATTGGTATGTTTCAGTAAATCTTCGATTCCAATACGTCTTACACTGTCTAATCTTCGAGCAAACATCTCTCTCGATACTGATATTTTTAACGCTTCCAGGGTAGCTCCAGATGTAATGAAATTCTTCTAAGTAAGCCTTTTTTTATTGCGAATGAAGTTCCTCCTACGAAATACCCAGGATGCTATATCCAACAAGCTATGTTATTACACTGAGGTATATTGGCCACTACTTCAGACTTGCTAGGCACGTAGACGACGATGGAGCGAGTTTTTTTCTCAATTCTCTCCAAGAGACAAGAGTGAAGGAAACCGAAACTAATACACTATCTACTTGGTTCAATCGTGAGAAGCCTTTCTTTCAGTGGGTTTTAACGGGAAGGGCTCTTCAGAAACAGAAGAAGTACTGTTGTCGAAACGTATTCAGTACCATGACTGGGGCTATCGCTGGTCGAGCACCGATCGCTCAAATTGCATTACTTTCCTCTAATGGACCTGTCGTGTTAAGTGCATCACACAAACCGCCTTTTGCCTCCACACTCTCTGGTGAACCTGTTCTACTATAATCTCTCTCTTTCTCTCTCTCTCTCTCTCTCTCTCTATATATATATATATATGTATACGAACAAGGAAACAGACGCGCTTTTTCGCGAGAATCTAAGGGTTGCGCGTGTCTAATTGGCTCAGCGCTCACCATAGGCGAGCGGCAACGTGACAACAGTCCATCGGGAATTTGAAAAAAAGGAACGTGGGCTCGCTTGAGAGTATCATTCTCTTACGTTTGTTGTTGTAAGCACTAGTGCAGCGAAAAATGCTTTTAACCAACTTGCTGTTGATTAGCGCCAAGCACAACACAGAGGGAATTAGAGGACGAAACATTAGCAACCTTAATTAGGTTATTAGGGAGGCATGGTGAAAAACAGCGAACTCTACCTGATATGAAGCTGAACATCAGCGAGGAGGTTGTGGTTTATTCATTTAAGTGCTAAATTTGGATGCATTAAATCATTAGAAAATCAACTAATGTGCCTAAAATGTAATTTACTTTGCGCGTTCGAAAATGTAAATTTTCTGATATATGTAGATAAAATAAACAGTTATGAGTACACTTGTTTTCTGTCATATTCTGACATAATGGGCAGACTCGTTTGGATTCTTCGTTCACTCTCATGACAACAATACTTTATCATGTTCGTATGTTCAACTCTGCCTTCATGCCGACAGTATTTTGTCATGTTCTATTCTGTCTTTCGACTTTGTTGTCGGTGCATTTCTCTCGTATTTATTTTTTAAGACTGATTCACTCCAGCGCTTCTATCGTTAGAGGTCCTCTTTTTCTCGTCAGTGACCTCTTATCTTGTTACTGTTGTCAGTGCCCTTCTGTCGTGCTTTTATAAACAATCATCCTCTATTGTGTTTTCGTTGCAAGTGTTCTTTTCTGGAGTTTTTATTATCACAGGTCTTCTCCCTTGTTTTTATTGTTAGTGGTCTTCCATTTGTTGTAAGTAGGACCTCTGGGCTTTTTAATTTTTAGTGGTACTCCATGTATTTTTTTTTGTCAATGTCCTTCTCATCTTTGTTTAATGTCATTTGCCCTTTTTCCTGTTTTTGTTGTAAGTGTCTATTTCTGGGGTTTATTGTCATTTGCCCTCTTTCCCGTTTTTGTTGTAAGTGTCCTTCTCTGGGGTTTATTGTCAGTTGCCCTCTTCCATGTTTTCATTGTTAATGACTTTCTCTCCTGTATTCTTTTATAAGTGGCTCTCTCCTTGTTTTGCTGTCAATGGTCGTTTCTCATGTTTTGTTGCCAATAACATATTTCTCGTTATTGTTGCCAAAGGTCGTCTCGCGTGTTTTTGTTGTTATGGCGAGCTCATTTGCCACTCTTGTTAGTGTTGTAGATACTGATTTTTTAATAATCTTCATTTTTAGAGAACGTACCTTATGTTCAATTGATTACAAATCTTGTTTATAATAAAACAAACCACTCAAGATTTTATGATATTGAAAATGAATTTTCTTCGTACTTGTAACATGCATTCAACACCTAATCGATTACATAAGAAAAACAACAATAAAAAGAAACAAACAAAATGACGCGTAATTTTACATTGTGATCTTACTGTTTTCAACTGTCTTAACCTTCAAAGTTTTCCCAGAGATTTTGATTCTGTATGGACTGAACCTTCTAGCTGTACAGTGAAAACCTTACATACGCCTATCAAGATCTTGGATAGGACCAATTATGCTTTTGACACAAATATATGGTGTACGCATATATTTATCACGTGAC